AGACCCTCGCGAGCCCGCCGCGCCCGCCGCTCAGGCAGTCACCCAGCCCCGCCGCGGGACGCCGGGGCTTTAATAGTATCTGCCATCCCGGGCGTAGACTGTATTTCCCCACCCCCGACCTCCGCTCGCGCCGGGGCGGAGGGAGGATATAGGTAATGAAGACTCCCTTGGGCACCCAGCCTTCTCTCCAGCTCACCCACCAGTTTTATGAATTCGACTCCTCTTTTCGAAAGGAATTATGAGTCATATGGGAAACCCAAACCAGAGTGCCTGGGAGAGGAAGAATGGGGGGTTAAAAAAAAAAAAAAATCTTTGAAAAATAAATACTCTTTTTTAAAAAAAACGAACAAGTCTTTCCTTGTCACATAAGGCAAGATGGAAAAAGCCTTAAAATTACTCCAGGCATGTACCCTCCTGTCCCTTAATGCCTGAATCTTTTTCCCTGGATGGAAGTAGTTCAGCCCTTTGGGGGCCCCTTAATGAAACGCGGACCCTTTTGAGGAACTTCCTTCACTTCCAAAAACTCACTAGTTCCTCCCTCCTAGGTATTTCTATCCATAAAGAATTGGTAGAATCAACTGGCACGCGCCGGGTTTTCCTAAAAGATAGACGTCTATCTGGCCTGTTTTTAAAAAGCCACCCCTTTGCTAGTCAGTCAAGGGAAAGCTGCTCCAATCCTGTTGTCTTGTGTAGAAATGAAATACTGGCCTGATCCTCGTGGTCAGTTCTGCCTAAATACACTTCAGGCTGCCCCACCTGTCTCTTGCCATATGCCTAGGACACGCTTCCAGGAAAACTCAGTTGACAATATGGGCACTTTTCTTGTTGATCTTTTCTACACTGACAAGGCTGTGTGGGCAGACCATGCTTCATTTGGTTTTGTATTCCCAGTTTCTGTGTAGTGCCTGGAATACAAGTTGTAGTTATTGTGTGCAATCAGGTTGATTAGACTCAGCGACACTATAGGACAGAGTAGAACTGCCCCATAGAGCTTCCTAGGCTGTAATCTTTATGGAAGCATATCACTAGGTCTTTTCTCCCATGGACCACCTGGGAGGTTTAAACCGCTGTTCTTTCAGTTAGCAGTGGAATGCTTAACCAATGTGCCACCAGGGCTCCTTTGGAATACAGGAAGGAGGCCTAAATGCTGGCTCAATGAATGAATGGTCTTTCCTTGCAGCCTCTTTTCTTTATAAGCACCCCAGTTTTTAATCAACTTCCTTATTAGCATAAGTACCCAAGAGTTGTCGAACTGGCTCAGACCTTTAATCAGTCCAGTTCTGATTCCAACAGGGGTAACATAATGTTTAAGAGAGTAGGAATGACTCTCACCTCTGATAGATTTTTAAGATTCTAGGGAGTTAAAAATGATCAGCAGTCATCTACTCTAACTCCTTCATCTTACAGAGAGAAAACATTATGAAATGATTTGTTGTACAGCTTCAGACACACCATATTCATTGTGAGTTATGAAAGGAATTGTTCCTCTAAGTTACCTAGACCACTGCAGCCTTTGATGCAGTAGAGCCACAGGCATAATACAGCACATCTCCTGATCAAGCCTCTCCTGAAATCCTTCCTGACTAGGGCAGAGCAGGTTCAAGTCCTTCCTGGGTATATTGCTTTGTGTAGGCCTCTTGGCTACCAAAGGCACTTTCTTCTCTTCCACTCCGGCACTGAGTCTCATGAGTACTTCCTTCTTCCATTCTGTGCTCTAATTTACCTAAAGTGCTTAAAATCTCTTCACTCAAGAATTTCTTTCAAAGTTGTGTCTCCATGTCCCAAGGCTTACATTCACAAGGTAGAAGGCTTACTACAAATCCGTTTGTAATATTTTTAAAGCTACTGAATGTTTTCTGTCTGGATCACCTCTTGGTTTACTACTCATTCCATAAAATAGACCTTCCTGTGATTTGTCCTATATTTGGTTTTTTCAAGCTTCACAGAATGCCCTGTTTTTGTTAAGCAAAGATAACTTTACTCTGTTCATGTCCTTAAGGTATGATAGTTTAAATATTTTAAAGTATTAAAGAATAAGATAAAAAATAAACGCTAAGCTTTCTCTCTTGTAAGCATTTCTACAGGACACGTTTCTCTAATGAAAACTATACCGAGACATCAACGTTTCATGCTCCATCCGTAATGACATGACTCTTTCAAACTCTGGCCACTACCAGTGTCCCCTCTTTACCCTACTCCATCTCCTACTCTTACTTAAATCTTTAGATTATTTGTACTCAATCTGCCTCCCCTTTTAAAATTACATGCACTTTTGAAATCATAGGGTTCTATCTTGGTCTTAAACACTCATATACACAAACACACACACATTCACATACATAGGTCCTTAATCAGTTTGTTATATAAACAATCAACATTAACATGAGGGAGGAATCTGATGGCATGACATAGAAAATTGAAGATAATCTATATGTTGGATGATAGAGCTGAGTCAGGAGCCCCCACCATTTTAGAAACGTAATTCCAAACCAGTAAGATGAAATTTCTTAGGGGAAAAAATGTGAATTCTTCACCTATGCTGAAAGAAAGTGAACAAGCATAAAATAATGGAAACATGGCATTAAATTCAACTGTGTGATGTGGGTAATAATAACTCACACTTCTTGAGTACCTATTAAGCACCAGATACTATTCTTAATGCTTTACTCATTTAATATTCACAATAACCCTATATAGTAGCTGTTATTATAATTATTCATATATTACAAAAGAGGAAACTGAGACACAGAAGGGCCTTTAAGCCCATGTGGAAACCCTAGTGGTGTAGTGGTTAAGTGCTACACCTGCTAACCAAAAGGTGAGCAGTTCAAATCCATCAGGCGCCCCTTGGAAACTGTAGGGCTATTCTACTCTGTCCTATGAGTTGGACTTCACAGCAACGGGTTTGTTGTTTTTTTTTTTAAAGCCAGTGTAAGGAAGTAGAATTTTATCTGAGTGAAATTGGAAGCCACTGGTGGAAGATGATCTCAAATGTTCTTTTCAGTCCTTAGATTTGTATAACTTCTCTATAGAAATCCTTTCAATGTTTCTGGAAAGTAATCCATAAAATTCTATGCCTGCTAGCCCCAACTAGCCTCTTCTAAATGAAGTGACTTGGGTAATTCTTTCTTTATAAAACTAGTAGTTTATTTTGAGACAAACTAATCTTGACTTCATCTGGTAGGTATAAAAATCAAAGGACGAGCAAACCAAAGTCAACCTTGAATAAACTGGTCGCAATGAAGGAGAATTTTAGGTGGTTTGATGTAAAGTTTATCTCAATTTGGTTCTTACCAGATCCTTAACCTAACGTAAAATGGGGCAGCACAGTAGTCACACTGAGGTCTCATGGTCCTGTTTTAGCAACTTTAATGAATCTTACTAATACCAAGGTTACTGTGAGAAACCTGAATTTCCCTTTCTGGTTCCAAGGTTCTCCTTAATTTAGTCCCATTTGTCTCTCATTAAACTTTCATTTCCATTTCTACCATAAAAGCATCCTCAGCCCTAGTTAGACTAGGTGCCTCACCATCCCATGCCAACAAACTCATTCTTCTCAGCTTGCACTCGCTCACATTAACTCTACTTTGCTTCCATACCTCTTTATTTTTAAAAGTACACAAATACTGCATGAATATATTCTCAGTGCAGACTATTTAAGACATACATTAGTACGTAGGGAGTAAAATGTAAACATCCCCACCTATGCTAACCCTTGTTCACTCCTCACCCCAAAGATAACTACCATTAATAATTATGAGGAAATCCTTCCATTTCATTCATATATCTGCACACATATGTTCATAGATTTATACATATGCATTTTAATTTAAATGGAATCACATAATACGTATTGTTCTGCAACTTGATTTTTCTACTTATCTTGGAGAACTTTCTATATCTGTGCGAAGAGATGTAGCTCATTCCTTTTAGCCACTGCAGAGAATTGTACTGAATGGATGCACCATAATATATATTTAACCACGCCTCTGTAGTCATGATGGGTTTTTCAAAATGTTCTGTGATTAAAACGGTTTGCAATAAATGCACATCTTTGTGCACAGTTTCAGCAGTTTCTTTAAGATAAATTGTTATAAGTGGATTTACTGGATTGCAGAGAATTCACAATTTAAAAATTGGATAGGTACAAGCAAAATTGCTCTCAAAAATGCTTTATCATTTTACACTCCAACACCTGTTTTTGAGAATACCTAATTTTCTGTCAGATTTCCAACAATAGCTACTATAAGTCTTTACAGTCTTTTCCAATCAGTTGGGTAAAAATTATTCATCTTGTTTTTATTTGTATTCGCTTGATTATTAGTTGAGTTGAGCATTTTTTCAAGTGGTTCTTGGCAATTTGTATATTCTTTTTCTATGATTGCCTGCTTATGTTCTTTCTCTACTTTCCTATTGGATTTTCTGGCTTTTATTCTTTTTTGTAGTAGGCCTTTAAATATTTCTGATAGCAATCCTTTTTCTGTTATCAATAGATACTCTTTAGTCATACAGAAGTTTTAAAATTTTATTTATTAAAAAAAATAAATAAATTAAAAACTAATTCACTGAGATCAAATACTACTTTCTTCAAAAAATCTTTCCTAATTCCTCCAATTCACTACTCTTCCTTCTTCCCAGAATAGGGAAATTTCTGGACTGTAAGTTCCTTGAATGCTTCTTAGAAGCCAGAATGCTGCTTAGAGGCAAGGATGGTGAGACTGTGTCTCACATACTTTGGACACGGTTATTAGGGGGACTTAGTCTCTGGAGAAGGACATCATGCTTGGTAAAGTAGAGGTTCAGTGAAAAAGAGGAGGACCCTCAACGAGATGGATTGACACAGTGGCTGCAATAATGGG